TATGTCCGACGGTTGCCTATCGCACCGCGCCTTATTTGCAGTGACCGCTACGGACGGGAGAAAGCCATGTTAAGGCCAGCAATTGATGTGGAAACGACCCCGGGGTCGGGGTAAAAAAGACACCGTAAGTGTGTGGTTGGAGACACTGAAGGTCACGGTAGTAGATAGACAGCAGTGGTGACCTTGCTGTCACGTCTTATCAGACCAGAATGTTTGAAATAGTATTTATGCACAGTTGGACTGTGTACTCTGTGTGTTGACCATAGAGGTTCGCTTTCTTTTCCCATCCCTAAAAGCAGGCCCAATCCCTATCCTCCGAACACATTCTCACTTATCTTCTATGCAACATGAGTTTGGCAGCCATCAGCGAAGATCGATTCACCGTATTATGCCGTACAATGATGACTCGGATGACTCGGATGACTCGGATGATGACGATGATGATAATGATGATGATGATGATAATGATGATGATAATGATGATGATAATGTTCTAACCTACTCCTCGTTTCATCACCGATCACACTTGCAATTTATCTCGGGAAACAAATGTTTGCAAAATCGACCATCAAGAATCCCACTCGATCGTAACCAATCGAAAAAACAAATATGGATCCCAACACTGGGGTCCACGTTTACAGTTACCAAATTTGAACATTCTAATGTGATCAACATCTTGATGAGAGGTTTATTGAAATGAAAACTTATCACCAGAGTTATTGGGACCACCCTTGGTTTTCAAAACCACGATCTCCAGACGTCTTTCCTTCCCTCTATCATCCTTTCTCTACACAGTAAAGCTCTGGGCGCTTCGACCAACCCGTGAGTGATTACTTCTGCCGCAGTGGATTCCCCCAACGTTGCCAATGGTTTGTGTGAATCAAAGACAATACACACATATGAGATTCCTGGAATCGAATTGATTGATTGGAGTGTAGCTTTTTGTCAATTCCATCTTTCCAAAGCACCCACGGTTCGAGAACGTGACGATGGATTTATGCCTCTGCGGATGACATTGCAAAGGACGACTGAGTACGTCGAAGAGAAGGATTTGATGAATGCGGTACCGGCCAAAAACGCCTCCATATGGCTAAGTTCAGGTTGAGTCCACTGAGCCGAATACTGAATGTCCCTGGTCTGGATGATGATTAAGTCTCCGATGAATCTAGGGTTATCATTTTCGATACAGACGGTATTGTATCGAAGGTGATGGGGTGAGTGAAGACGGTCTAGTTTTCGACCGAGACAATGTTGATGATGATTTCGGTGGTGGCAGTGGTGGTGGTGGTGGTGACATCGGTGGCGATGGAACCGATGCAGGTTACTGATCCGGTGATGATTTGACCGGAAGCGTCTGTCGCGTGGGTGGGTGGGGTTTTCTGCTCCGATTGAGATGGCAAAGGCTCGGTTGGAGCTGAATCTTTCGACTCTAGCAGATCCATGCGATTGGGATTTTTACCTCCTGCTATTAGTCGGAACTTGATTTGAACGTGGGTTTTATTGGCCAGCTCGTAATGGGGAACTATTGTGGCGGATGAAGGATCTACCCGCTTTGAGTGCACGGGGACGACCGCGCTTAACATTGCTAGAAGGTCGGTTTTTCGACTTTAGACAGAGCTTCTTGATGGCACGGGGATCAGATCTCGCGGTTTTCAGTTTCACCACATCTATAGACCATCAACATTTGGATGAAGGATCTCGGGGAAACTCAAGCCGAGAAGAGCTCTAGGTGGAGTGTCTGGTGTTCAGCAGTCGGTATGTGTTATCCACGCCCATGGCCAGCACAGCAGCCGCCTGGGAAAATAGAGTAGCTGTATGGAATGAACCAAAAACGTTCCGCATTGTTCACTGGAGGAAAAGCTACAGTAAATCGGATAATATTTTCGGCTGACTCTCATCGAAATCCGATCTGGAGTCGGATTTCGTACTACACTAATTCTGGAGCACCGCGGTTTGCTCGTCCGATGCTATGTTGGGTTCTGTGCCCAGGATTTCTGGGGGTGCATCCAATGGTGTTGGATCGAAGGATATCAGTTCCACGATGGATCGAACAGTGCTCTTGAAACGAGACATACATGGCAAGGAAAAGCCGGAAAGTCTTTTGGAACACCGGAAAATCTAAAACCGGACCACTAATTAATTACTAGATTTGATTCACACCAATTCGCACCCGAGTTCGATCCCGTGCAGCGATGTCACTCTCTCCGTCGTCCCACGCGGCAAAATGCATCTTGACCAAAGCCTGTATAGACGACTTGTGGCTAAATGACAAAATGAAGATGACGACGGAACGTGAAACGGCGGAGAAGTGGGACAACCAGGTGCTCAGCGAATTACGAGGAATTGTGCGACACAGAGGAATTCCTGGTGAAACCAGGTCTTCGTGGTTAGACGGAGGGAACAACGGCCGTATAATACAGAAGAAACAAAAACCCCATGAACCAGAATGTCTCACGGGAGGAGGATATAAACACTCACAAGCTCAAGTTTTATCGGGTATACATCACTGGGCTAAAGAGTCCAATGCGTTATGAACGATTTGTGTTCTGGCCATTGTTGTCCAGTAAATGATGACATTTTTTCTCAGATCGGATATTTATTTACTTTATCTCCATGTAAGATGAAATTTAGCAAAACATATTGAGTGCAATTCACCGGTCTTTCTTTTTAATCAGTTTCCGATATCAGTAAAACGCAGAGAGAAGGATTCGGGATCGGTTTAGCTACATACTGATCAGTCACGCTTACCAGCCGCGATTCAATATAAGTCTAACCTATAAGGAGTAGTGAACAGTACTTTACCTATAACCAACTCTCTATCTCACCTTCGAAATTTGACATACATTGTTCATATCCATTCTGTTTTTGCACACACACACACACACACGATCGCCTTATGTGTTCACACGGATTGTCTGTTTTGTGATCGGATGGAAATGGTTCTGTAAATAATTTCATGTATGGGCAGGGAAAAATCAATCGCTTTTTTAAGCCAAGTCAAGTCAAGTCAAGTCAAGAAGCGGCTTTAACTCGCCCCATAGGATATGAACATTCAGCTACTGTGTAATCACTGTTCTGCACATACAAACCAATAAGGGAAAATCAGAAAGAAGTTTTTGTTTAAGGGTTCCAATTACAAGGTTGACGCTGGTAAGAAACTGTGCCAAGTACGGTATTATAGAAGACGTGTATATTTTTGTACGGGCTGGTATATTGCTTATACTTGGAGCGAATGCTAGATGTAGAGATACGTTTACCACGGAGGGTACAGTGAATAAGATGGGTCAAATAGTATTCTGGGAGGCCTTAAAGTGCTGTGAAATAATAAACTGCACAACACGCTCGCGAGATATACCACTGTATCGACATACGTGTGACATACGTAAGAGTTTGAAGTCTTTGATTAAAAGACCCGAAAAATCATTGGGGATGCATAAAGCCAGTGGAGAAGGATACAAGAGAAAACAAACCGTTTTATTAATGGAGTTGGGGTAAATAGCATCTTCAAACGAATAATGTAAAATGTGAGTTTTTTGTCTTTGTGAAATGTCTCGATGACATGAGGAGACCAAGATATTTAACGGAGCATGCTCTGGAAACTTGTGCCCCATTGATAATGACATGCTGACAGGGGTTCATCACATCAATATATTGGTCGCCTTTCACCAAAGAAATAAAGACATCTTTACACTTGGAAAGATTCATTCTAAAGTTGCATTGTGAAGATCAGTCGGTGAGCAGTGAAATGGTTGGCATACGTTTTGGGTACACGGAGGAATTCGAAAACTTCATACCACACAAAACATCATCGGTATACTTAATGAGCAAACAATCATCAAAAGCAGGCATGGAAGAAACATAGGTTGTGAACAAAGAGGGAGAGAGAATAGCATTCCTTGAGTTCAGCTCTGTATGTAAAATTTCGTAACCGAATGCTTGGAGATTTGGCGAAGGGGATATTCTCAAACATACCATGGGGCTTAAATGGTATACATGTGGATACTAGGTTTGTTATGATATAATGCAAATAGAAGGGTACATGACATATTGGTGATGGTGGTAGTGGTGGTGTTGGTGGTGCTGGTGGTGATGATGGTGGCGTTGATACGGAGAGGAGGGGATAGAGTTGGTTTACCCGATGGAGCATGAGTAACTTGGCCACCGGTTGCGACCGGTTGTACAACCCTCATTCGAACGATGCTCTGCCACTCAACCGGATAAACTCAATTTGGTAACCGTAAAATTTTATGCCTATTCCTATTTCCAAAGTCTCAACTTTCAATAGTAGTAGTAGTAGTAGTAGTAGTAGCAGCAGCAGCATTATCACTATTATTAACCATATCAGTCCCAGTGAATATGAACCGAAATATATTGCACGGTGATCTGATTCCGTTGGTCGTTATTGGGGTCAGTTCAGGTCGCACTCACACACGCACACACACACACAAGTCGATAACTTTTTATCCTCAACTAGGTCAAACACACTCACACCCAATACAAATGTGTCAGGATCAGATACGGTTCAGATCAGTGATGTTTTCATTTCTGAGCATATATATAAATGCGTACACTGTTATCTTTATGCTTCAAAGTTAATGACATCCCATTGACCTCATTTCAAGATAGCAAGAGAGAGAGAGAGCGTGGATGCTTATCTAATCAAGGTCATCCTCGATAATACGCTATCGTGCCATAAATAAAAGAGTAATTTAAATGTTTCGGTAACCTTTAAACTAATGCGATCCGGGAACAGTGGGTACGGAAAGGTTGAGCGATTCCAATAACCGTCCGTAACGCGTTAAGCCGACTGGTCTGGGTTCGATTACCGGCAGACGAAAAGAAACCATTTTTGATTGGGAGCTACACTGACGTGAGATTCACAAACCGAAGAGAAGGAATTTTTGGGGGAAAATTAGAGCACTCGTTAACTTATGGACATTTATTGAAGTGCTTAGCATCCTGATCAATATATAAAACTGAGAGACGGGGAAGAAAGTCAGATAAAGAGAGACCACGAAAATGGAATTTGAACAAGTATGATCAAGTATTGAGAGTGATAGTGCCCTAGTACAATTACAAGCGACTGGTACAGTTCACTGTCCAGCTGTGCCATGGTCCGTGTGACGCGTCTTGGGGTTCCATCCGGAGAAGCGGACGGGGAGGGGCGCATTCCAATGACCGCACGAAGATAGTGATTTTTCCTCAAAAAGCATTCTCGAATAGTTGCAAAAATCTTAACGGGTTGGTAATAAATGTAATCACTAATATCAATCAATACCTACTACCACGTCATTTCAGCANCAGCAAACAAACAAGATTACAGTTCGACTTCAGAGAAGTAGAATCAAGTTAAGGCATGATGGGGTGAGAAAGTTTGACTCTAATAAAGCGATTGGAATATAAGCCATGATAGCACAATACTGATTCACCATCATCATCAACAATACCACCAACAACAAGAAAATAAATCGAAGTCAACTGACTTATATTGTAATGAACAGAGTTTAATAATTTCTTAGGGGGTATCGTCAGTTATACAATTTTATAACCATGAAATAAAACAGATTATATATATGTTTCAAATTTGACTCACAGTTACTTGTGATTAGTGGTGTATATACATATACCG